TAGATAATTGTTAGTTTAATTTGATTAAATGAGATAATTATAAAATTGGATATATCTTGCACCCTATTTTTTCGAAAATTTAAGGGGTTAGAGTTAGGATTAAATTATTTGATTAATTTAATTAGTTAATCCTTATCTAATTTAATATTTTAGTAACTTTAAATTAATAGATAAATATTAAATTATTTGGTTTATTTTATTTTAAAATAATATTTTATTAATTTTTGAAATTTAAAACTATAAACCTAGTATTTTGAAAAGTTTTAAAATACACCTTATATATAATATTAAATGATTAATTACTATATGTATAATAACAATTCTGTCAAATCGTTAGTACACCTCATTCACAAAGTCATACTATAAGGAGAGTTTAAGGAAGCGACCTATAAAATGACTGACATTGGGTATCCACTCATACCCACTGCTCTCTTGTATAGTGGATGGTCGTTAGCTGATCTGATTTGATAAGACATAATCTCTTTAATAAGTTGTGACAACCCGATATTTCAACTACATGTAAACGACCTAAAAAGTCAAGTATTGTAACCACGATAGTTGTAATAAAATTTACTTCGAAAATAAAATATCCAAAAATCACTAATTAAATTAACTTTTATGATAGATGTCATTAAACCATGATCGTACGTAAAAAGAACGCTCAAATCCGACTTCGTATAAGAAAGTTAGGAATTTTTCAAGTTCGTCTTAACGGCAGACGGCTAAAAACTCGAATCAGAGATCGAGCGACTTTTGGCCGGAATGACCTCAACGAGAATCGAAGGTCTCAACAATGGTATTTCAGCGGTAAAAAGTCTGGCAAAAACCGACGTCAGATAAAGAAGTTATGAATTTCTAAAGAAATTTTCTTACCGCGACCTTTTAAAAATAAATAATAAAAATAATTTCGGAATTTGCCGACGGGATCTAAACGAAAGTTGTAGAGTATGGTCTCACCTTCGCGGGGATATAAAGAATGTCGAAAACGGAGTTCGTATGAAGAAGAATGAATTTTTGAAGTTTATTAAATAATTTATATATAAATTTAATTCAAAAATCCGGTATTATCCAAAGGGGGAGTCACCGTGTTCATCCGAGTTACGCGTTGCGTAACCCGTACACCCCGCGTATGCGAGGCCTTGGCCTCGGTTCGTCCACGTCGCCCCTATGCGAGCTACCCCGACCCGTCCCATCCGAAGCCGAGGCAGTCGAGGACTCGGTCACGCATGACGCACGAGTACGCCCCACGTACCAAGGCTTCTCAGCCCCCTATAAATAGAGATGCGAGGGTTCCGGGAAAAACACCCCATTTCTCTCATTTCTCTCACGATCTTGCCTCGTTTTCCGTGCCCGTACTACCCTGAAGCCCCGATCACTTTGCTCGAGTCCCGAAGGTCGTTTGTGCCCCCGAGGTTCCCGAGAATCCCGAGGAAATCCACTTTCGCGAGCCGAAATTCTGTCCGGATTTCATCCTGCAACCTCCGACCTTACAAGTGAGTTCATACCCCTATAATTCACACTTTTAAATGTTTTATGAGTACTTTTACATGCTTTTAAGGGGGGGGGGGGGGGGAAATACAAGTAAAAGACTCGATTATTATCGTGTGTTATATAAACTTTCATTTCACGCGTTTTATCAAAGGAATCATATGTGATTTGAAACTATCAAAGGGAAAGTTTCATATGCAAATTATACCATGACAACATTTTATCTTTTGAAATGAGAAACGATTTGTGTATTTATATAAATCAGATATTTGCTCATACTACATTTCTGTGTGTCGATGTTGGCACTACAAAAACTACACTTTTCATAACAAGTGAACATTTTCACTAAAGGTTTATCATACAAACGAAACACACTTTTAGGGAACTATAATAGGTATAGTTTCACGAGGATACTACGAACTTTTACATACATGGAAATACTATTTCAAGAAGCTACTTTCATATACAATAACGAACGAACGTTTTCACACGTAAATCAGTTTTATACTAAGTTTTGTGAGACATTAACTTCACGTACGTTCGAGTACACATTTCAAGTCCTGTATTATATACCAGAATCCCTTGGAGGGGGAGCATGGTTTTTGTGTATAGATCTATACGGGCTTGACAACCCGCGCCCTGACTGTTAGCTACAGCCCACCATTTGGGGTGACAAATGTCAGAACATTCCAACGCTTGAAGAACGTTGTGTATAGGCATTCCTTGTCAATAGCATGGTTATAAAACTCACATGGAGTATTAAAAACACAATGATTTACGGGGTTTTCAGACATATTGGAATTTTTATACGTACATACATTTACTAGAAACAAGCATTTGTCCTGAAAGAAGGTTACAATTATACTAGTAGAAAATATAGGATTTTCTAGGAACATGCAAACAAAGAACAAAAACATTTCATTTCATACATTGTCATTAAATACTTATGAAACTCACCAGCTTAAATGCTGATCTACTCTTTCAAAACTACTTGTATGTCCCAGGGATTTAGTAATTACAGGTAACAAACGGATTTTGGAGAAGGGACGCTGCGGCGCCAGTTTAATTTCATATTTTGACATCATAATGTAATTGATTTTGAACATGTACACTTTTAAACAATGTAAACTTTCAATTATATATATGATGGTTGTATTGCTTTCTTTACTATGTATTCATTTGTTACGTTACCACATGAAGTCATCCGCCCCCAAACGTTTTCGCCGTTCTGGTTTGGGGGTGTGACATAAGTATAATGATACAAAGTAACTAAACTATATTTATAAAATCTCACTCTTAGTTACTTTAGGAAAAATGTGAAAGGTATGCTAATCCATGAAAATGCACACCATGTTTTATATGTCGTTAGTGGAGAGTGTGTTGTTAACCGGCATAAAAAGAAATATGATTTGGCATATTGAAAATTATCATTGTTCATGGAGTGTGTGTGGTTAATCGGTACATCAATGTGAGGTGATGAATAACATTAAGGTTGTCAAGGGGGTTTGAATGGTTATTCACATCTTGTCTGTGGTCCTTGGCATCCCAGTCACAAAAATAAGAGCATATTATGAGATTAAACATGTCATTGATAAGATTTGATGAATCTCAAAAGATCTTGGACTTTCATAAGATTGAAATTGGAAAATGCCTTACCTACCTAAACTAGATTTGAATTTGATTACAGCATCCGTTTTCAAAGTTCAAATTAAAAAATATGAACCCTAACCTTAATTTAATTTTTGGATTAATAATTAAGGATTAAAATCAACTAACTTGAATTCTATCCATTCCCACTTTTAGATGTCTTATGAAGATACAAATGGTCTTTCTCATTCTTAGGAAAATGATTTTCCTCATGTTCAAGAGATGGTCTTCCAATTTCAAGTCAAGATGAAATTGTTTTCCCTTTCTTAAGAAATGATGGAAGTGAATATCATCTCTCTCTTCAACTTCTCCACCTCCTCCTCCGGTGACTCTCCCTACATCACGTTTTCCCCAAGTTGAAAGATACGAAACTACTCGAGCCTTATTGGCTTATAAACATCAAGACGTAAATTTTGTATGTGTGCATATTTTGAAAAGGGAAACTGTATGTTGACAAGTTGGATATAATGTGTGTCATTTTTGCCAAGGAGGCAAGCCATTGAATTGATTATTCCTTTGTTTGAAAATTCATATGACCTGTTCATTTAGAACTTTTATATGAGGAATATCGACGTGAACCTCATTGATCTGACCCAAATGTTGATTGTTGTTGAAGCAGAAATGCTTAAGAGCACATCTAAAGCAGAGATGCTTATTGGGTCTAATTCTAAGGTTTCTGTGGACATTGACAATGGTGGCAATGGTAGTCTATAAAGATTTCTCTTCCCAATGAAAAGTGGGCATCTAAGATCAAACCGTTTGGTCGTATGGTAAAGAAAAAAGTTCGTTCTAGGATCATTCCATATGTTAACCACAAAGAGTCTATTTGTTTCTATTGCCAACTGAAAGGACGTTGATAGCGAAGCTCTCCAATGTACCTGAAAGATCTCAGAGATGATAAAGTCAATTTGAATGACTCTACTTCAGGTACATCCATTATCTAACTCCATTTTTTTATAAGTTCCTATTCATACTTGAAAAGTGATCATCAGATTCTCTCCGTCTTTCAAAAACACAAAATAACAAAGTACTTTCTAAAAGTGATCATCAAATTCTCTCCATCTCCCAAAAACAAAAAAAAATATAACAAAGTTCTTCTGTGTTTCGAATTTGGAAATGATCTAACTTCTAAATTGTCGTTCTTTAATTATCCCAAATCAAATTTTATGATACCCCATAAACTAACAAAAAGTACATTAGTGTTATTATATAAAAAAATGGATGGAGTTAAGTAAGTTACGTTATTTTCATACATAATTAATAATCTTGTGAAACTTAATCCAACGGTAATACAAAATAAAAATCAATATTGCACACCGAATCACGATGAATAGAAACTTATGCCTGGTTCCTGAGTTTTAGAAAAAAAAAAAAAAAAAAGTAAGTAGAAGAGAAAAGAAGAGAAATAAAAGGAAAATAAATTTGTCTTTCATGTTCCCGAGAAGTAAAATGAAATTTAGAATATTTTGTTCTTTCTCTCCAAATTCATCAAAATCAAAAGGAAAGTGATCATTCCATTCCCTTTCACTTCATTCGTTTAATGAAACTCAAAAACACTAATTTCTTTTACTTTCCTCTCATTTCTAACAATTTCTTTTTTTTTTTCGTTGAACTCGGAAATGGGGTGTTAAATTTATAATTTGCAAAGAAACCATCACAATTCGTTTCAATGAACAAAGTGTAAGTAAATATTTGATATTTGGAATTTTAGAAGAGGTCCACATGGAACGGATTTTATCCGATCCGGTTTGGTTTGATATCAAAGATGATGTTGTACGGCATGTGTTCAGAGTTGACAACAACTCAAATTAAATGTTGCCCAAATTCATGCACCCAAGGCCAAAGGTGCTTTACAATGTAAACACTATTCATATAACATACTTATCAAATATTTAATGAACAAAATAACAAAATACTTCAAAAACAATCAAAGCAAACAAATACACAAACAAAAACCCATCTTATATTACAAACAACGTCATATAATGAGAGCACACATCACAAAGTTCCATAAACCAAGAAACCATCCACCCCATACATAATAATAAACCCACACATAAACATCCTTCATTATTCACACAACACACACATAACACACACATAAATAAAAACCAAGTCTTGATCCACTTCAATTTATTTAGATAATCATCACTTAAAAAAGCGACTTCTTCAATCAAGCTCTCTCTCCATTGATGAGATCCATCACCACACGCTTGATGCTTCCATTGTTCTTCTTCAAAAGCCTCCTGTTCGCTTCCTCATCAACAAAACCCTAAAATAAACAACACAACATATTTAATATCCCACAATCATCAATCAAACATTTAATTAAACCCTAAAAAAACACTCACCATTTCCTGCAACTCCTCAAGCATCGGATCCCACTCTGAAACACCACAAAGATCATCAACCGATTTCTCAAGATCATAATTATTCATCCTCAACACCTCCTTGTTCAAATCCAACTGTTTAAACCCCATAGCTTCCAGCTCCACCAGCAGACTCTCCTCCTGAAGAAGATGATCCTCACTTCCCTCCTTAGCAGATCCAGATGGGTCCTCCGCCACCACCGCCGGAGGCGAGGTGGCACCAGTAATCACAGGCGGCACTTCAGAGAAGTCCACAGTAGGATAAGCAGGTGGCTCTGTAGAAACGATACCCAAAGCATTTTCCACCTCAGCAGACCGGAAAACAGTAGAGGTAGCAGTGGGCCCCACTGGAGATGAAACAGTAGGTGTAGTAGCAGCCATGCCATTACTAGTGATAATCAAGGTGTCATTGATTGGAAAATCCATGTCCTGATTATTAGCAGGAGGTGTATCTTGTGTAGATTCAATGACCTTGATCAAATTGTTTCCATTCATAACCTCAGGCTCGGGGATAGGGCCCACAGGGGGGTTGTTCATATTGACAGGTGGCAGGTTGAGATTGATTTGGGGTTCACCCATGTCTTTCATGGAGGAATCCACCTGGATTAAGACCCAAACACGCTGCCCAAACTTCTGTCCAGATGGCGATGCCATTCGCCAGTATGAAATGTATCGACCTGGAAGCTCAGGGGCATTAAAGTCAACTGCAATGTCAAGCTCCTGCTCCACACCCAACCCATCACTTGGAATCTGAGAGAATCAAACACAGGAATGGAATCAGTCATTACATTCCATTATCAATATCATGGTTAGGCTGGTTTGAAAGAACGGAATGGAATAGAATAGAATAAACCATTCCATTCATTCTGTGATTCCATCATACCAAACAGTAACTAAGAGATTTAATTTAAAAGAAAGAAGAAGGTAGTAACAGTATAGCTACAAACCTCAATGTCAACAGAGACTGAATTGCTCAACCTATCACCTCCAATCCATTGAAGCTGTGAGCCACATGGCCAAATAACAGTCCCATTGTTCCTCATCCTCCAGATTTTAGTAAAATTAGTGAAAGGAGCCATGGTTGTTCCATCAAGAACATTCACATCAAGAATGAATCTGCTATCAAGCTTTGCCCTTGGCAACTTACTTCCAGGAGCCCTCAAAGCATGAGGCAAACCAGGAGTTGGAATTCGCACAGACTACCAAAACCCAAAACATACACACAATATCACCATATGAAAACTAAATATAATAATTAAAAAAAAAAAAAAAAAAAAAGCTACTTACAGGATCATGGTAACCTCTGAAAGGCATATGATGCCTAACAGGATTAGCTGGACGATCCATTCTTATGTAATCAGAAACATTTCCCATTCCAGCAAAACAATCACTGCATAAATCATAATCTTCCTTCCTGTAAAAGGTTAAAAAATGTTAGGAAAAAATAAAAGATGGATTTGAATTTAGCAACAAAGATTCATGATTTGAAACGAATTTAACAACTTACACTTTGGATTTGAAACGGGGCCCGGTTATCGGGTGGACTCCACAGCCATCACAACGAACACCTCTATGGAATACCAGACTTCCTAAGCCATTTCCATGGCCATATCTTTTCCAATGATGATGATGACCATGTCCACGAGATGGATAATGATGATATGACTCATTAGGTAATGGCATACCTGAAAATGGGCATTGATTAGTTGCATTCAACATCCCTTGAGCCCATCCAGAATCGTTCTTGTTCTCCACACCATTGGTAGTGTCTTTGTTTTTCTCAGTTGATGAATTCCCATTATACCCTTCAACAGCTGATGGAAAAGCTTCATAGTCGAAGTAAGGAGCATTAAGATCCATGGGTTTTGGTGGTTGAACAACATCTTTAAACTTCACACCTTCAGACGTCTTTTCAACCTTCTCTTTGTTCTTTGAGTTTGAACTTTCAGCTTCAGGTTTATTATTCTTCACAGTTGATGAATCACCAGTAGAGGTGTGGGCCCTTGGTGGTGTAGCCATGGAAGCAGAAATTTGATTCAGGTATGCATGTGTCATCTTTTCCACAAGTTCAGATATTATAGGGGTAGAGGGTGTTGCTTTGGATGCCAATTCGAGGGGCAGTTTTGTAATTTGATCACGCAGGGGTTCAGGCATAGATTTAAGAAATTCAGACAACACATTTGGAATTGGTCCAAAAGGGATCTGGGGTTGTGATGCGCTCAGGGGGAATGTTGTTGTTGTTGGTGTTGGGGTTGGGGTTTGGGTCCCAGATGATCCACCATGGCTGCCATTTTCGAGCTTGACAGTGATCCTTAAAGGGTTCAGAGACTGTCCAACAACATCACGAAGATCATCATCATCAGCAAGAGTGACTGCATCTCCATCTTCATCAACGTATGTGAGAGTAAAATCAACATCGGGATTGAAGTTGAAGAGGCTACGTATCTTTTCCCTCAAAGCAACAGTGTCAAGAGCAAGATTATTGTCATTGATGGATGCACTGAAGCGCCTGAGAGTTTTACCGAACTTAACCTGCAAAAAAATCACAAATATATCCAGATATTTAAGCTAAGATTAACCAAACTGCAGATAAGATGCATGAAACTTGCATGAAATACGTGGTTTTCTTTGAATTTACATTAACAAATAGATAACGAGTGTTTTCGTACTTAAGGGTTTCAACCTGATGAGTTACTACCTTCACCCTTCAATACACTGTATATGACGATATAAATAAATAATAACTCGATATCAAACACAATTAGAAACAGGGCGATATAAGGTTTCAGAAAAACAGCACCAATCGTCGTCATCACAAACGGTGAAACAAAAACCCTAACCCTAGCTCCAAAACAGCACCCGATAGCGTTCAATTCAGATAAAAAATTTATCTTTAAAAACAAAACAAAGAAAAAATTTCCAAAAAAATTAAACGATACACAAGAGAACACAATACTAAAATCTGGCTCGGATTGAACGAACATAGATATTAAGACATAAGGTTATACAGTTTAAACGATAACGAAGCGTTAAGAACAAACCTTGATCACGATTGACGAAGAAGCCATGTGAGAGACTGAAGTGATAACAACCCTTGAAAGAAACAGAAACAACGCTTTGCGAAAACGAAGATAAAATAGCTCCGATTGATTATTAACGATAAGAAAGAAAACCCAGTTAGATTGGATGATAGGAAATTGATCGAAACGCGTAGCCGTGAGCCGCGAAGAGAGAAGCGATTTCGATCGCTATGAGGTTATGAAATTGGAATGAATTTTGGGTCGGGTATATAAAGAACGGTGTGAAGAGGTAGAATTTCTTTCTTTCTTCCAAAGAAATCTTGGAAAACTAATACACTAAGGAAAACAAAAGTCATATTTTTCATGTATACAAATACATCACCATCATATTAAATTTGTACCTCTTATGAATTCATTAAAAATATCTTTACAAATTAAAATTTTAATAAGAAAGAAAATTGCAACCGACTTATCATCAAATTATAACAATAACCTTGTGGACATACGCTTCGAGGATAGTTATACATAAGAGTAAGCGGTGTGTTATAAATATGAATTGGACTGAAGTTCTTTTTCGATGTGATACCATTACGGTGCCGAGAACACCATTCTTGGTGTCCCCGTTATCGAGGCTTTTGACTCATTCAAGACTACATGTATCTCGATGATCTTTGGTTCACTTACATTACATAACTTTTAATCAGTAGCTGACGTGAAAGAGAAGAATTGCTAGAAAGTAAAAGAAAAAGAATGACTAACCATCCTTAAGCTTTTGTAAAGATAGGATGAAAGTATCTCATTTAGTATATCGTTTTGGTTGGAGACAACTATTAAAATAAGTGGTTTATTATGAGCGTGTTCGACAAAACTAATTGATAATAACTGGTAGTTGAAAGTTGAAAGCTGAAACTTTTATTTGTATATGAGTATTCGACAAAAATAATTGTAAGCTTCCAAAACATATAAAATTACATAAAAATGACTTATCCAACACATATCATTGATTTAAAAAATGGTAATTAAGTCAATTTGCAAAACGATAAAAGAGGTTTTTTTTTTTTTTTTTTTTTAAATTATAAAAATGCTATTTGAAATAGTTTATAGATTTGAAGTTTTATGTTTTATTAAAAACTAAAAGCAACTTAATTTTTTTAGAGCTTTTTTTTTTTAATCTTAAAGTCTAAAAACTATGTTACTTTCTAATTTTCTATATATAAAGATAAAAGGAGATATGTATAATATGGAAATGTTGCCCTTTATCAACTAAATGCAACATAATGCACCTTTAGATATAGAAATTGGTGTACTTAGATTAACATGGTACGATATTTGGTTAAATATATTTATAAGAAAGATGAAAAAAGTTGAGTTATCAATTTTAAATTATAGTTCAGCATTATATATAAAATAATGCCTGTAACAATTATATAATAGGGAATTTTATTAAAATCGTAGTTTTATGGATAAGGGGTGAATTTGTCAACGACTTTAAGGTGGGCGTGGAGAGAAAGTTTGGGTAGGCGCCATAAGTGTGAATCAACCAATTATAATAAGTAGCTTTTAATTTAGAGAAAAACACTCAATTTTTTTATCCATTGCCACACACACAACCACATATAACAAAAATTGCAATTGATAACAATCGGGATAGCTATTTAACTTTTTTTTTTTTGGATAGCTATTTAAATTTTTTTTTTTTTTTCACTTTTGAAGAAATACAAAATCATACAGTAAAAGAAACTCATAGTTTAATCTCCATTTCTATTTTTTAAAAAGCAAAAATTTAAAATAAAAAAGCAATTAGCAATTTACATTAAGCCGCGAGAAGTAAACAATAGGTCCAGAAGATAAAGTCCTACGATTTAGAAGTTAGGGGTAATATGGTCTATTTGGTTTTTATTTTTTCAATTTTAATGTTTTTAATATATAAAAAAAGAGATTTTAAAATATTAAAAAATATATATGTGGGCAAATATGATATTTTATAAGATTAATGAGGAAAAATATGATATTTAGATATTAAGTTGAATGAATATGATATTTTGACGCTTAATAAAGGTATATATAAAATTCTCCCTAATAATAAAATAACTAAAAATCAAGAATACGATCCAAAATATATAGCCAACGAAATCATAGACCTCGCCTGCAATTTTGTTATAAGATTGTGAATTTCGTAACCCATCAACCCCATATATTTAAACTTAAGAAAAAATTTAAACCATTTTCATATTTTTCAAGCTCTAGAAACAATGGCGGACCCTAGTGGAGCCCAGTGAGTCCCGGGCCACTGCTCTGATTCGGGCACGTAGTGTAATTTTTTTTAATGTTTTTCTATTTAGTGCACCGGCTTAAAATACGGGTGCCACTACTAATTTAGATTTTTTCGAATTTTTTTTTTAGTATCACCCCTACTAAAATGTTCTGCATCCGCCACTGTCTAGAAACACTCACTGGCAATTGAATTTACAATTCCATCCAATAATGTTACAAGTGATTTAATCTTTAACTATATTTAGCAAGATATTTGTTTAAAAAGTCATTTTTTAAAGGCATCAAAGTTTACTAAAAAAGCTAGTTACAACTTAGATGCTAACAAAAATGAAAAGGAAAAGAGATTACATAATGAGATTTATAACCAAAGGTGTCTAATTATACTTAACTTTTGCTGAACCAATTAAAAGTGAACGTCACTATAATATCAAATAGATATGCCTTACGATCAGTGGCGAAGCTAGAAATTTTTATATGGGGTACAAAAATTATCAATAAATATTATTTATAGTTATCATATTTGGGGCATTGAAAAACATGATATAATCTGTTAGTTAGGGGGTACAATAGTATAGAACATGTTTACAAATAATTTTTTTTATATACATAAAACAATTTTTTTGGGGGTGCTGTAGTACCCCCAACGCTCCATCTAGCTCCGCCACTACTTACAATATTTCTTTGAACAAAATATAAGCGAATTTTGATATGACCATAACATCCAAAGCACAATCATAAAAACTGAATCCAATATACCATTCTTCACCCTGATACATAGTAAGAGTCTAGTCATTGAAACATGTCACCAATACTAGTGGAAGAATGAATGTCGATATCCAACCATCGTTCCACACACTATCACACTTCCATCACCAAATCACATAAGTAAAATAGATGGTGAGTCTCCTCCACATGTATAGAGCATAGGATCAATATCCATTCCCCCTTTCTTATTTAAAGAACCTTGAACTAATGCTTTAAAAAACTTGTATTTTACCTTTCAAAACATGTATTTGTAAAAGAGAAAATCAAAGTTAGCATGCCTATTATAATGTCCCAAAATAGTAATAATTTTTTTTATTCAAAAATCATTCAAAAACATTCATTAATTGTTTGGAATCCATACAAATCATAGTATTAAATCATCAGAGTACAAATTATTGCAAATGCAGAAACCGTGACGTGAGGATGTTTTGCTAACATATTGGACCTTCCTTTTGAAACTGAAATCACCTGAAACCATAAACAAAATCTGTAAGCATAACGTTTAGTGAATTTCCCAAGTACCAAAAACCACACATGAAATAAAGATAAATGTTATGATCCAAATCATAGTCTTTCCGTTCAGTGTTGAGGGCCAAATCTCGGTCTTCCATATAAATGTCAAGGGTCGAATCCTTGTCTTTCATATAACTGCCAGGGGCCAGATCCTGGTCTTTCATACAAATGTCAGGGGCCAGATTCTGGTCTTCCATACAATCATTACATAACATTCAAAATTCTACACCATAAACAATGGGCCGATATTGGTGCCTTCGACTGATAGATCTAGTGAGAAAACTCACCTCAACTGTTGAAAATCCCAGACGCATGCTCGGGCTGCTAGACTGGAGAAAACCCTGTGCTAACTAAAAAATAAAGTCCCAATTAATAATTAAGACATAACACAAAACGAAAACCTACAACACTTACCGAAAGTCCAAGGCTAAGCTAGCCTCTTAAGCCCAATAAAATCCTAGGTCCAATATGGCCCATCATCAGAAGTATCCTATTAATAAGAAGGTTTATGGTCCAACCCAATAAACAAGCCCAACGATTAAGGCCTAAAAATTCCCTATGTTGAACTGGGTCGTACGCTCGATGTACCAACTGGTACGCATCACGTACTCAACCGAAGCGGAAGGATCGCGACTAGGATGCAGTAAGCACGATGTACAGGGAGTTACGCCTGGCGTACGCAACCCTTATGCAAAAACATGTAAAGTGTCTTAATGCCTTAATACCCTATGACCAAAACTTAGATCTGAACCTACTAAGACCCCTAGGGCCATAAAGTTGCAAACTTTATGTCTTTGCATGGCTACAAGAAGCCCAACACTAAAAACCTAGCGTATTTCACCCTTTTCTACACTCTAACTCTTGGATGGGGACAAATCAAGGTCCAAGCTTACATCTTTATGACTTGAGATGCCTTAAAATGTTTGAAAAGAAACCTTGAAGGATTAGGAGTACATCATACTCATCAAGCCCTAAACTTTTGGGACAAAAAGGAAGAAAACAAGCCTTAACTAAGATCTAAAGAAACACAGGCCACGTTTGGAGCTTTATACCTCCAAATGGTGCAAAACGAAGAGGAAATGTTGGATCCAATGTCTTGAGGGCAAAGCTTTCTCCTTGAAGATCCTTCTTCACAACCAAGAAAGCACAGTCACTCCAAAAAGCTCAAAATGTTCAAAATGAATTAGGGTTTGCAAAGACGGTCGATCTTGGGATGGAGTTGATAAAGGGGAAGGTTTTGAGACAACAACGAGCCATGGAGCTGATCAAAGACTATGACTGCGAAATCCTGTACCATCCTGGAAAGGCTAATGTGGTTGCAGATGCACTTAGCAGGAAGGTTTATCGTAATAGTATGTGTTATACTATTACTCACACTACGGTGAAGTTCACTATTCTTGATGAACTAGAGAAGTGGCAAGTTGAGGCCTTAAAGCCAGAAAATGTGAAGAAGGAAGGAATGGTACATTATGCTGATGTTTTACTTGATGATCCACGAGGATTAAAAGTATTTAAGAATCGGCTATGGATTCCAAAGATTGGTGGATTAAGACAGAAGATTTTAGATGAAGCTCATAAGTCTAAGCTGTCAATACATCCTGGTACAAGTAAAATGTACTATGATGTAAGAGCTGATTATTGGTGGCCTGAATTAAAGAGAGACATTGGAATATATGTACATGAATGCTTAGTATGCTTACAAGTTAAAACAGAGCACCAAAGGCCTTATGGAACCCCAAAAAGTCTTAGTGTTCCTGTATGGAAGTGGGAAGAGTTGTCCATGGATTTTATTTCCAAATTGCCAAAGACTGCTAGACAGTATGATAGCATTTGGGTAATCGTCGACCGCCTGACTAAGAGTGCACATTTTCTCGCCATGCATGAAACGGATCCAATGGATAAATACGCACAAGTATACT